ATCATTACACAACATATTTCTCTTCATTTACCAGCCTACTAGTATCCATGGGGATCCATAGGGGTCCCGCTACCCGTGAACCCTTAATACTTGTAATCAGATTCCAGGGTCGTCCCCATACCCCGTCCGGTATGAGAGACCACAATCCCGGTAGGGTTCCCTACGGACCCGGTTCGTCCACCATCTCCCAGAATATCTAGTCAAGCTGACCACATTATATAATTATCAATTTACATAACCTTTCATTCTCCTTTTCCTCAATCAGCATCATCAATTCACACACAAACAAGCAAACCAGTAATTTATGCCAAACAAGATAACATACAACATCGGGTTCTCAGTCATTCAACCCATAATCAATAAAACAGTAATATATGCACACGAAACTATGAAATGAAAACATCAGACCTCATACTACATTTAAAACCGTAAAATAGGCCAAACAACAGCTAACCGACAAACACACCAGACTCGGGCTCCATTAGCGACGTTAAACAATTTCACACATCTACTGATTCATGAAATACCGTTTTATCATTTATTGAACTTTAATACCGTGATAGGAAATAGGGTGAGGAATCCTTACTTGTTTTCGGGGTCTGATTACGGCTCTACAGTGCGCCTATAGGTTGTCCCTAATTTTCCCTGAATTTTTTCTGGGGAACTGAAATGCACTGCTGGTACCTGCACGTGTCTCAAAAAATCTCAAATTAGACCCAAGGCCCCTTTTGGCCAATATCGCAATTCCGGCACGGCAGCTCCGCCGTGCTCTGGCGATGCGGCGGCGATTCGCCTCGTGTTGGCCGTTTTCGGCTAAATTCGACCACACTTGCATCGGTCCCTGCGATAAAACAACCATAGGGCCCTCGGGGGGCCAAAAAATACGAAAAAACTGAAGCTTACCGGCGGCGGTGCTCTCGGGTGCGGCGGCTCTCCAGCGAGATTTGTGTTTTGGTGATTTGGCTCTGATCAACCTGTAGAGAAAAGAATGGTGATCACGGTGATATAAAAATTGTATCAAACGGAGGCCGGGAAGGGCCTCATCGGAGGCAAAAAAATGAGGAGGGGCGCGGCGGCGCTGCTGGGTTTTGACCGTATTTTCCAGCCGTTTGGCCGGGATTTTGGCCGTGTTTTCCAGCTGTTTGGCCGGGATTTTGGCTCCGATTTGGCCACAGAGGAACTTAGCGTTGAAAAATGAGCCGGGGGTATGAAATTTACCTCGATCGGTGGTCGAAAAACTCCCCGGTGCGGCGGCGGGTGGCGGCAGCCGGCTCCTCCGGTGTCTAGTTCGTCTTCTCCGACGAGGGCAGGCGGCTAGGGTTTTTGTGGTCAAGTGTGGGGGTTTTATTTATACAATTTTGCCTTTTGATCACAGCCGTCCATTTTGATTATATCTGGAGCCGTCCGTGCGCACGCTTAATCTGGGCCGTCTG